ATATACACACATACACACACACTCTCTCAGACACACACTCCGGCTTTCTTTCACACGCCGTCCCGCTGTCATACTTACATATATATTCACTAGTATCCATGCATATGTGGAAGGAATGATGTTCACAAGGACACGCGCATATTTGGACACGCAGACACACAATAGCATGGTGTTCCCTCTATGATAAGTATCCTAGTCACAATTGTAAGTTGGGACACATATATGCCCGTAGATATGTAATACAGCACAGGATGCATATTGACAACATACCATGGAGAATCTCTTCGCTAGCTACTTTCCGACTCTCATTGGTCTCTGCTACACCCGCTGGGGGAGCTTCGAACTTTTTGGTCGGCTGTTCGACAATTGTTTCTTTGTTCGGTTTTGACATTGTAGGTTTTTATTAGCGTCTATTGCTTCTGGTTTGATAAGATGTATAAGGGTTCAGCTATTTACTATAAATTATTACCTTTCAAGGATTGTGATGTTTATTATCAACCTTATTGGAGTGAGGTTATGTTGAAACTATGTATGTATAACGGAATATGTATTGTTTTGAAGCAATGAAACCCCATGCATTCATTTCATATAAATATTTATTTCTTCCTTATATATGTTATAGCTTTTCAACTTTTTCAATTTTATTTACAAAAAATATTAGACAAAATAAAGTCTCTTCGTCCACAATAGCTTTACAAAATAAATACAATGACACAGTCACAGTGTCACAGTCTACAGACTCCCAAGCTACAGCAGGCAGTCAGGCACAACTATAGTCATTGGTCACTGAGGGTGTCCCTCGCGGGGAAGTCGCGAGTATGCTCCCCGAAGTCCGAAGACCCGCACGACCAACGTAAACTGACAGAAAGTCAGTAGCTCTTTCATAAAAAAAAAGAAAAAAGTTCAATTTGCTCTTGAAATATACTTCTCAAGCGAAACCCTAAAACCCTAAATCAGGGATCCAATTTGGCAATGACCAATCACCGTAGGCTAAAAAGAAGAAGTAAGACGCCAGTCGCCAACAAGAAGGGGCAAGAAGTTGAAGTTAAAACTCCTGGTCATCTTTATTTGACCTCCTGGGACCTGGAGGCCTGGAGCCTCTCTCTAGAGTAGAGAGTTTAGAGAGACTGAGAGTGAGAACCGGGAACGTGCTATTCTTTTCAGGAATCGGACAAACCAATAGGAACTTAATTGCGAATGGCGTTGCCTGCTCTGAATACTCTGGAATTCGTTGCTGTCGCAAAATTTAAAATTCACTCTATAATCGCGCGTCGATTGGTTGACGACTTGAGGTTGCCGAAAAGCTTTTTTCAAAACAAAGGTACGTTTCAAAATACATAGCCTTCTGAAAATTGAACATAAATTTTTTTTTAAATACCTAATCCATTGGCCGGCCCATGACCCTCTGGACCTCTACTAGAACCTCTACTACTCTAGTTGAGTAAGTAGAGAAGTGTAAAAAATTTAAGGGAGATCGGACAAGTACGTAGGACCCGGGCCATCGCATTTTACGGTCACAATTTTTTTTACAGTTCCTTTAATAAAGAACAAAAATGTAGAACCCGGGTCCGTGAAAACCGTTTTTAAATAAAAATTTATGTACACGAAAGTAATACCGACATTCAGGAAAACACTGCGCATGATTTCAATGCGCGCTAAAACGGTTAGAACCAACCCAAATTCGATTGTACAGAAGCCGTATAAATATGAGTCGCAACCTTCACTTTACTAGTGTGAAGTTTACGACCAACTTAAGTTATTTAAATAAGCTTTGTCTGCCCCCTTTTTACTTTCGTGTAGAACTCCTAGCTACTTTCATGCTACTTTAAAGTAATTTATTGAGCATATTTCACCGCTATGATTGGCAAGAACAAAAATCTTATCCCTCTGTCCAAAGTTAAGGACAATCTACCCTATGTCCTCAGATTTGATCTCCACCGCTCTATTGACTTTAGGTTGCTACTTTCATGCTACCCGTATGTCCTTCATTTTGATCCTCACCTCCGTGCATCCGTGGTCTGGTGCGGCATTGGCTCACCCCCAACCTCGCTCCTCCGTAGGTATGACAATAAAAACATTTGTATCATCGGTCGCAGGCGAGAGCGGCAGACTTAGCGGTCGCAGGCGAGAGCGTCAGACTTAATAGTCGCAGATGAGAGCCGCAGGCATAGGGGTCGCAGTCTTAACGCATCTCAACTTTTTCTGATGAGAAGGGTAGCGAACAATTTCTGAATGATTGCAAACTTTTTGAGAATGGTAGCACATAGGCTACTGAATACTGTAAATAGAACAAGGTTAGGTGTAGCAAACCTTTCTAAATGGTAGCAAACTTGATCTGAATGATGGTGCGTAGCAAACTTTCTTATCGGCGGCTGAAATCTTCAGGGTTTGGCTATTTTTAGGGTTATAGTCCTAAATATAAATATATAAACAAATAAACCTACGACATCAACATAGTCCTCCGGCCAGCTACGTATTGTACAACTATTCATACGACGCATAATGATATTGGGGTGTCAATTTAAACTAGCGCTATTCCATGCAGCTCTACATGTGCACATATATATTTTTCACTAATTGATGCTGTAGAAAGCCAGCTATGTTTTGTACTACTACTCCCACAACAAAGAATGAAGTTATGGTATCAATTCAAACTAGCGTTACTCCATGCAACTTTTGTAGGTGGTCAGCTATGTATTTTAACTGGTACGGTCGTCTACGACTACCGTCTCCTCACGGGGATAAGTAGAATTCTTCCTTGCCGAAATGCACACTGCATACATAGGCATTTTTTACGTTCCTGAGATATGGCCCGATTCCATGAATCTCGACGTGGCGCAGTTTAAACTGCACAAGTCTATTTCTGAAGTACTCACCACACATCATATACACTGCATCGGTTGCAACAGAGTATTTACATACACTACAGATGTCCGGCATGTTGGATTTTTAGTTGTAAGCTGAAGTAATTTTATAAACAAATGTCAGCGTGGTTGGAATTGTCAAACATGGCCTAATTTTTATACTGTAAACTATTACAGAAAATAGTAGTAGTAGTACCAGGTGTAATAGAAGCGCTAGTTTGACACCACAATATCATTATGTGTGCTAGGAGTAGTACTACAATACATAGCTGGCATTCTACAGAATCAAGTACTGAAAAATATGTATTTGCAGATGTACAGTTGCATGGGGTAGCGCTAATTTGACACCACAATAACGTTGGGGACCGAATTCATACGGTCGTTCACGACTGCCGTTCCCTCCCGGAGATAAGTGGGAGTCTTCTTTGGCGAATTTTATACTGCATACTTGTGATTCCATTGGTCTCACTGTAGGCAAGTTTAAACAGCACCATTCTGTTTCTGACATGCTTACTATATTTTGTATATACTGCAGTATTGTCTATAGAGCATTGATATACACGACAATTCCCGGTATGTTAGATTTTCGGTTGATAAGCTATAGCTTTGATAAACAAATATCAGAGTAGTTGTAATTGTCAAACATGTCCTAATATATATACTATAGAACTATCACAGAAGTTAAATATATTACAGCGGAGTTTGCGTGGCATAGTATTCGTACCAAGTGCAATAGAAGCGCTAGTTTGACACAACAATAGCGTTGTGTGTCGTAGTAGTAGTAGTAGTAGTAGTATATATATATATATATATATATATATATATATACATAACAACATACACACACACACACACACACACACACACTATATATATATATATAATATATATACAAATATAAATATATAGTCTTGTACACATGTACATGTAAATGTATATATATATATATGTATGCATATGTACATGTAAATGTAAATGTTGTTTATGTATATGTATGCGCATTGTATATGGATATTAGTATATGTATATTTCTATGTATATACACATGAATGTATTAGTATTTGTATATGTATTTTTATACGATTTTATTTTGACCACTGCTACACGATTCTGCTTTGTCCTGCGTACAGATGCCTGGTTTGTTTACGGTTTTCGCATATGTCGTTAAAATTATTTCACCATCTTCAGCGATGACAAAGATACTATAATTCGCACAAAATGCATTCAGTATAAAGCGCTGTGGGGAATCTCCAAGGTATAGGCTACGTAATTACATATAAAACGTTGCGTGTGGCATATAATTCGACTGTGGAATTAATGCTTTTGACATGTTGGTGCGACTAAACGGAATTGAAGGTAAGCTAGACCAACCTCCTCAATCTCGAGTACACTGCACTACGAAACAAACCAATTACAAGGTCTATTGAGCTTTTTCGATTTCCGATTTCAATTCACACATATATATATATGTATGTATATGTATATGTATATATACACACACATATATATCTATATATATATTCATATATATACATATAA